ATGAATATTTAATTAGTTCTACGTACCTTATCATACACTCTCCTCTTTTCAACTTAATTGAGTAGCGATACTAAAACTAGTTGCACTTACAGTGAGGTGTTCTCAGTAAATGGCTAGAGCCTGCTGTCATGGAAGTATATTGATTCATTCAGTTCTCAAGATAATCCTTTGAGGTTGGCAGTTTGCTATCTCACAAGTGAAGATGGGCAGGCATAAAGAAATTGAGTAAATTGCCCAAGGTTATACAGTTACGAAAAGGAAGGTCTGGGATTTTAATCCACCATGTCCATCTAACTTCAAAGTTTATTCATTCATCAAATATTTATTATATATCTACCATGCATATTAGGCACCTCTGGGCATAATCTTACCTTCCAGGAGCTTTGATTTGGAGGAATTTAATGTTATGTTCATAGGTGGTCCAAGGAATGTTTTCTATATTAAATAATTTTGTGAAATACAGAGTGGAAAAGTTTTAAGCAGTTTTTATGATTTGTATTCACTGTATTTCTTAGCAGAGTTTAATATTCTACTCTACATTATGAAAGTTCCAAGCCAGACAATAGTAAGCAGCTTTCCCCAGTGGTTTTAACAACATACCCCTTCCAGTAGTGGAGCATCTCTGGAGATGATGTTCCATGGATCACACTCTGTGAACCCCTGGATAGGTACTTCTCGTGGTCCGGGCCCAGTTTTCTCCTCTGTCCTCAACTCTCTGGTGCTGTAATATCTCAGCTACCAGGTTTCCTTGCTTCAACCTCTTTTGTACTCACTCTAAATTATAAGCTGCTGCCAGATTTATATTTCTAAAGCTTGGCTCTGATCATTTTACCCTCCTCCTTGTGAGTGAACCTGAATTTCCTTCCCTCTTCATACTAAAATAATTCCAGATGGACCAAAGACTCAACTGTAAAAAAAAAAAGAAAAACTACAAAACCAGTGGAAGAAAACATAGCTGAATTAATTTAAAATCTTGTAGTGAGAAAAGCACTTCTAAGCAGGATGTTAAACTATAAAGCCATAAATAAAACTTTGGTAAATTTGACTAAATAAAAATGAAAATAACGAATTGCCGGAAATAACACAAGTCTAAACAAATTGCGACAAGATTTATAGTCAGCGGCTGATTTCCATAATGAAGGGCTCATTCAAATCCATAAGCACAGGGCAAACCATGAACCCTTCATGGCCATTTCCTAGCAATTTCAATGTTAAAAATTTCCACTGAATATAGTCACTTATGAGTTCCAAGATAGTTACACAAGGATTCTTATTGCAGTATTGTTTGTACTAGTAAAAAATTGGAAGTGATATAAATATCCATTATTTAATGACTAGTTAAATAGATTGATGTATCACAATGAAAATGTATTCAGTTAATTAAAAAAAAAAAGTGGGTCTCTATTGCTCATGTGAACAGAGCTCCAAGGTATGTTAATTATGAAAGCCTGCAATTACTTAAAAAAAATTCTTGTATTTTCTTTTCCTGTAAAATGCCCAAAAAACTCTTTATGGCAGGTACCTTAGACAAATGTGAATCAGAGAAGAATGCTAGGGTAGAGAGTTAACTTTTCATTTCATCCGTTTTAGAGTTGTGTGTTTATATTACTTTTGCTAAAAGAAATATATATTAAAAAAATACCAGAAGTACAGGAAAACAAAATACCTGTATTTCTTACAGAATAACAACTAAACTCATTTTTATTATTATTTTTTAGGGTGCTTTGGCCTCTGACTTGGACCTGCCTTTTAAACTTTATTTCCTATTATATTTTTCTCCCTTAATCTCTGGATAAATTGAAATGCTTGCATGGCACCACACCATGCTAGTCGTTTTGGGTCTGCTTCCCTGCCAACCCCTCAGCACCAGTGCCTCCTACTGGAATGGCCTCATTCCTTCTCTGTATTCTCTGATCCATCCATATCCCAGCTCCCTTCTCTTTTATTTCAGTCCCCACAGACACCCCACTAGAACTAATCTTTCCCTCCTGTGAGTCGTCATAACCCCCGAGTTCAGTTCTGTTTGGCCGCTTCCCTCTGAGACCTTGTGTTGTATCTATGGGATGCCCGTCTAGCACAGAGCCTTGCTTGGAAAGGCCCGGGAACAGTCTGTGACATGTGAGCATGCGTGACAGGCCCAGTGTCAAGGGAGACGTGATGACCTGTAGTGTCAGTGCGCATGAGCAGAAACAAGGGCTGTCCCAGGTGGCTGTTAGGAGTGGGAATTGGTGCAGCATTTTGGGGGGACCCATAACTGGCTGATAGTTTGTCTCCGCAGATATATTCACCCACGGAGTATTTAGAATGGAGCGGGACACTCGGGCCATACATTCTGAGGCTGTGTCACTCCCTCAGGTCCACATGGCAGAATTGGTGGCAGCCGCAGGATGGAAGCAGCATCCATGGTCTCTGGGCTCCTAGCTTCTCTCTGGCCCTGGAGTACCACGCTGCCACAAGAGCCTCATTGTGCGTGAAGCTCCCAGTGAAAAAGGTTAAAGTCCACCCATTCAGGTGTCATCTCATCATTTGTATAATCTGGGAGTTGCATTCCTGAGCCTCCAACCCCTTTTCAGAACCTGCCTAGTTGAGATGTCACTTCCCTGACAGGGAGGCACTTAGGCTCAGAGAGAAAATCACAGTGTGCTCCCCCCTTTCTCAAATTTTCCCTAACAATTAACGCTGCACTAACTTGACACCCTCTTTCCTTGTTTGGCTTTGTAAACCCTGGTCCCTTTTTCTATTAATTCCAGACATTAATATTTTCTTTCACGCAACTGCCGCCATTCACCCGTGAAACAGTTTGAACATTATGTAGCTGTCAAGATGCCTGGGGATTACCCAGTATGCCTTGCCTGTGAGAAAGTGACACCGCCGAGGCCTGGATTTGAGATGTTTATTTTGAGAGTGCGCTGACAAGCATGAAGGCCTGATCCCAGAGTGCCAATTTCATTTAATTAAAGCCCTCTCTTTATTATAGTTTTCCTCCACTCACACACACACACACACACACACACACACACACATATATATATCAGAATGATTGTTAAAGTCTGGCTCCCCACAGGTGTTCCTTCCACTGTGACGCGAGGGGGTGGCAGATTGTGCACTCGCTGGTGAGTGTGTCACTGAACGGCTGGGAACGCGTTCGTTTTTGCTGTTCCGCTCAGAAGTCCTGCGGAACACGGTGCATGTGCGTGTGTGTCCAGATTTAAAATAAAGACTGCTGGACTTCTACCCCTATGTGCAAAACTTCGAATGTCAGATTTGAATGTGTGTGTGTGTGTGTGTTTGCAGTTTACTTTCTTTGTTTAAAGTTAGTACTCTTGCAAACACTGGAAGGCTAACTTATCAAAATGGTGCCTTAGTTCAGGGGTCCCCAACCTATGGTGAGTTGTGTAATTATTTCACTATCGATTATAATGTAATAATACTAGAAATAAAGTGCACAAGATATGTAATGTGCTTGAATCATCCCCAAAACCATCCCTCCCCTCTGTCCCCGGTCCATGGAAAAATTGTCTTCTGTGAAAATGATCCCGGGTGCAAAAAAGGTTGGGGATAGCTGCCTTAGTCGATCTATTAAGGCTTTTCAACAATGAATGTTGTTTTACTTTATAGTGATGTTAATTTCAGTTCAAATAGCTGGGAGATGTATTACATTCGTTTTTCAGTGATCTGTAGTCCTGGAGCTAAATAGAAGCATAAAAAGGAGCTGAAAAAAATAAAAGATGGAATGGTATTAGTGGTTTGGTAAATGTTGGCGACAGAGTAGCTAAATTAATTTTTGATATCATTTTCTTAGTCTATATCAGCTCAACTTTAATATCAGAAATTCATTTCAGTCAATATCCTGGGTGTCTGTCTTGGGTGCTGTGCAAGGCGCTGGGGATATTTCAGTGGACAGAGGGCACTGCTGTCTTTGTTTACTTATTCACAGTGCTGCGTTTCAGAGTTAGCTGTAATATCCTAAGTCCCCAAATTACATCGTTTGCCTTCGTTGTAGCATTATCAGCTGGCCTGCAGTTAGCCCCTCATTGACTGTTCGTTCACTCGTGCCTTCTCTACTCACCGTTCGCTAGGTGTTAGTGAACGAGTACATCCCAGGCACCGTATGATGACACACATGCTTGTGACACACAAGCACGACACATAATTCATGTATTATGTTAGCTGGTGTTTTTTGGTTTTGTTTTCTGTTTTTGTTTGTTCGCTTGTTTGTTTTTAACTTCGATTGATCCGAAAAGTGTGGGGGAGGGTTTGCCATCGGCCCTTCTTTTTGCTCTGGGCATAGCGACTGGAGGGACATTATTCATTTCTTTTGGCATCTGTTTCAAAGCTCTCAGGGAGGAGCCGGGCAGGTCAGCTGTGTCAGCTCTGAGGCCAGCTGAGGGCCGGCTGACGTGGGGTTCAGCTGGCCTGGGTGAGACGACGGTCGCTGCGTCAGTGCAGGTGCGGAGAGGCAGCAAAGAATGGCAACTCTGTCGATTTAATCTCTTACACCCCCATTTTCAGTCTTAGCCCATCTTTTGAGCCAGTGATTCCAGAGATTTATTTATTATGAGTATATTTTAAAGTACAGGATTCTGTTGACTCAGCCATCTGGCTGAATGTTTGGAGCTGGTTTCTTTCCCTTTTCACTGACTCGCGGCCGTTCCTGGGAGGCGTGGGCTTCTCTCCAGGACTCCTGACACCGTCGGCTGGTGCTGGTGGATTTTATTTCTTGAAATTTTTTAGAGTAGCGTAGAGGTGACCTACCCACAATGAAACAAAACAGGCAAAGCTCAAGGAGTCCATTTACATTCTACCACTGAAGGCAAAAAAGAATCATACATTTATCCCAAATTGTCTCACTTCTCTCTCGCCCCTGCTCCTCTGAGGCCTCAGATCTCTGTGCAGGGAGACATTAGCCTGGGGGGTGTGGAAAGGGTCTTTATTTAATGGAGAACCCAGGCTTTTGCATGTATTTTAAAATTTGGTCTTGTTCTCTTTTTCTATTAAAGGTACAAGTGATCCCTATGTGAAATTTAAGCTGAATGGGAAGACGCTATACAAAAGTAAAGTCATATATAAGAACTTGAACCCGATGTGGGATGAGATAGTTGTATTGCCAATACAAAGCCTTGATCAGAAGCTACACGTGAAGGTAATCACAGGCGGCTTTCAAATCTGCTTCCTTATTAAGAACATTTCTCAGCAGTTATTCATGCCCTCAACTTGCCCAAATTAATTCTTTCGTTATTCTCAGGACTAGTTTAAAAATATTAACGTAGAAGGAATTCTTTATACTATTTGTCAAAATTGTATCTTTCAGATCAATGAGATAAGCTCTACTGAAAATTAGAGCAAAAAATAATATCTCCATTGATTGTATTTAAATTTACCGAATGTGGAAGAATTATTACTGGCGGTGCAGTGGCGACAAGTACTAAAGCCTTTCTCGTCAGAAATAACTTTATACTTAATAGAGCTGTAAGCTACTGGTTGTGAGCATCAATTGCTCTAACATCTGGGTTAAAACTGCATGAGTTGAGTGTAGAATGGGACTGCTATAGAATATGTAGCAAATTTCTATTTAATTGTCAGATCTGCTCACCGTGGAAAATACTAAATTTTAATGAGAGGCCATTTAAACTACAGAGAGTGGTCCATTGTGCATAACATTTTAATGGATATAAATAGTGCCTTAAAAGTATTTTTGGCTGTTGTTTTGGCCACAGTAGGCAATATGGGCTAGATTGAATATTTTTTTTTTTTCTGTATATAGGCTTAGCTAAATTTCTCTTTAACTGTAGAGTGCAAAGTATTTCAAGATCTGGAAGATTGATTTCAACATTCCCAGCCTATTGCATTTGTTAGTAATTTGATAAACTTGGTTGGTTTACCATATTCATGTGTTACTGGCCTCTGCCCTCTTTGTAGGTATATGATCGAGATTTAACCACATCTGATTTTATGGGTTCTGCCTTTGTCATTCTCAGTGATCTTGAGCTTAACAGGTATTGTATTTTTACCTACTAATTGTTATTAATGGATTTTAGGGGGAACTCAGAAAAATGTTGAATGGTACTTACTGAAAGCAAGTGACAAAAACAACGTATCTGAATGAAAGAGTGCGTTAAAGTGTTGTTATAACTCTCAGTACCTTTTCTAACATTTGTGCTTTTTAGGTGCCAAATATATTAGTCAGATGTTAAATATTTTATAATGTATTCTAAAATGTGCATTGGATTTTGTACTGTCATCTGTTAATATTCAGTTTCACTAACCTAACTTAAAATTAAAACAAGTATTTAAATTTTATTTGGACCATAGGGGAGGGGGATCAGTTAACCAACTGTTGAATTAAACAATGCCAAAAAATTTCTCTACCCTGAATATGTTTGGTTTGTTTTCATTAAATTTGGTGCTTTTTTAAGCATTTTGTCTGATCCTTATTCAGAGATAGGAGACTTTTACCATAAGCTCCTGATGCCTTGTAAGACTATACAGTCCGGTTAATGAGGGTTAAAATTATTTCTTGCTTCTTACTTACAGAACAACTGAACATATTTTAAAATTAGAAGATCCAAACAGTTTAGAAGATGACATGGGAGTGATTGTCTTAAATTTGAACCTCGTAGTAAAACAGGGTGATTTCAAGAGACATGTAAGTGTGACACTTTTGCTGTTTTTAAACTCTTGATTGCAATTGTCCTTCCATTCCTCTGCTAGCAGACAACTACCATTTTTGTAATTATTTTGGGGGAAAACAAATAGTTTTATAGAGACTTAAAGTAACTATCTGTGTTATATACATCCTCTGTTTTGGAAAGAAATCCATTAAGGAATTTTCTCTATTTTAGCTAGGGATGGGGTTAGTATTGCTATTATGAAAATTTACATGCTGCTTGTGGTTTGCTTATTATAGATCATTTGAAATCTACTTGTTCTAAGTGTTAAGGCTTCTGTTTAATATGTTTTAGGTCCTAGATGACTTAGGTATTATTCAGTTACGAAAAGCCATTCCCAGGATTTAATTATTACATTGTATATTATTAAGGTTAGTAAATGTACATTTTCAGCATTTTGGTTCCTTCTTATTTTTTTCATTTTTACTTTTAGCTACCCAGTTTTCTTCTGGGATGCTTTTAGGAAGACACAAATTTTAATGTTCTCTGGATTATTACTTGGAAATTTCTAGTTAATACACTACTTAGTGAAGAGGTCTATAGCATCAGCAAAGCATTAGATTTTGTCATAATATGATTGGGACTCTGTTCTTATGAGCAAAAATGTGGATAAAAATCAATCTTATTTTGTAATAGGAATTATACCTTATAACTCCAAGAATTAAAATGAGAAAAAAATTATCTTTGATATAACTTACTTGAAATGTATTTTTAAAGCCAACTAAAATGCCTACTTGAAAAAGTATAAGATGTACTACAATTTAACTTGTCTAAAATCCAGTATGAAAACATGAAGCCTGTTAATAAATTAGTTCTCTAAAAATGCTGCTTGAATAGAGGCAATGGGGTGGGTGAATAGAATAGTCTTCATTTTGACATCACTTATGGTTTTAATTATAATTTGTTTCATGATGAAAATTATGGCTGATTTACTGGTAAACTCACAGAAGATAGCTAAAAAGAGCTATGAAAACTGTAGTTGCTATGACTTTGCAATTGCCAAAGGGTGGAGGAAATAAGTGCTATTTTAATTTGAATTTTTTACCTATGGGAATTTACTTGACAATAACTGAATGAAACTCTGTTTATTACTTTAAAAAAACTAGCAATATCAACAGTTGAGACCTCAGTAAAATGGATATTTTGATGTTAAAATGTCTTAAATTGATATTGATGTTGAAAATTTATGTCCTCTCTTACATAATGAAGGAGAGCTTTTCTTTAGCTTCCTCTTAGTCTTGACAGTATTGCCACTGCGTCACTCTGGACCGAATGTCAATGGGTGCAGTAGGTGACCGGTTAGTTGAACTGGGTGCCAGGTTAAAATAGCACACGATGCAAATCAGTATCATTTGCCACATGGCTGAGCACTTGCCAGCTGTTGTGTTCTACAAATGTCTTATATATTTATGTGGGATCTATAAATTTGGATGATTTGCCCATGAAAATAGCTGCATATTTAAATGACTACCCTTGTGACTCTTTCTATAGTATACTGGATTACATTTAGCAACAATACGGGCACCTAAAATATACTTGAGTGTTGCCAAAATTTGGAGTTCCAAAATCATACCATTTTAGTTTTGGTTTATTTCAAATTGCAGAGCCATTAACACTGGATGCAGTTTGAATTTGCTTTTGTAACACATCTCGAAGAATGTCTTTCAGAGTCCAAAGAGTAGCCACTGTTCTCATCGTATTTAGTTTGGCCCTTCTTTCATTTGACTCCGCACCTTCCCTCCTGTGTTGGAGAGCTTGTCAGACTGTCTGTCTGCTCACTCACGTGCTCTCTTTTTCCTTTGTTCTTTTCTGGCAGAGGCCTAGTGTGCGATTTCTTTATTTTATGTATATTTTATGGGGATATTATAATATGGAAAACCCTACTTGTTCTCATTTGTTCTGATTGGTAATTTTCTTTCTCTATTTATGTATTCAATCAAAGAAAACAGAGGAATAATTTATTCTGGGCCATATGGGGGTATCCAATTTACTGCATATTGTGGGCCTTTTGGGTAAAACAGATATCAGAAAATGCTTGTTCTTTTCATTGAGTTTAAGTTAATATTTAAAAACATTTTATGTTGAGATTGTGAGAATGACTAGCACGTGGGACTGGAGGTCAATAGATTATTTAATTGAGATAATTTGTGTATTAATTTTGATTTTATTTTGTCCATTATTAGAATATCATACAAAATAGTTTCACTACCTTAAAAAACAAAAACAAAAACAAAAAAACTTGTGCTTTGCCTATCCATTTCATTTTAATTTAAACTCTCATGGAGAAATTTCAGTTTAAATTCTCAGTTTTATACCCATTTTCCTTTCCACCATTGAGGCAGTCTTTGTTGCTTTAGAACCAAGCTGACAAAAGTCTTAGCATGTGCAAAATGTGTATTAATTTACCATCATGTCTAGGGATTTAAACATATATGAGCATGGTACAGGCAGAAAGGAAGACACTGGCTGGAATGCTAACAAACTTACTATCTTTTTTTTTTCCTTGATAAACATATGAGTGTAGTTAAAATTATTGGCTCTGTTATCAGACTGCCTAGGTTTGAATCCCAGCTCCACCACTGGTCTGGTCAAATTTACAGAATTATTTAACTTCCTCAGCTATAATTTCCTCATGTGCAAAATGATAATACAAAGAGTTTCTGTTTTATAGGGTTACAAAAATTGAGATTATCAAATTTGGGGCTCGGAATTGGAAAGAGACACTCAATATATAGTAGTTGGTAGCATTGTAGCAAATAGTAATAGTCATTTCCATTAATTTCTCCACCTGTTTTGTTTATCTTTTGTGATGTTATAAAATGAGTTTTTATAGGTCAAAGAGCTCTAAATAGCCCTGTGCACCTATAAGATGATAATCAATTTTGTTGGTTGGTTTGAGTGAAAATTTCTATAATTTTGTTGGGAAAATATATTTATAAGGCCCCCCCACAACACCTGATTTTAATACCCAGGTGTTAGTACCTGTAACTCTATTGTTGAATTCACAATTTCACCAGGGAAAGTGTTAGTAATGAAGAATATTTTACAGTCATTTCTGTAGCAACATTGCTATTTCCTAGTCAATGAAATGTAAGTGAATTTCCCCTAAAGACTATTTATTTTCTGGTTTCTAATTTATTGGGAAGACTTATTGGGAAAGTGGATAGGTCATTTACCTGAAGGTAATTTTTTCCTTAAGCATAATAGTGAATGTGGTCTGCTCGATTAGGTTCACATTGAATTGTAATCTCCTGAATTTATCCAAGTTGTAACAACCAGTTAGCTGGTTAACCAGCCAGAGTAGAGTTTTGCAGTACCGAAGGGTGACAGGAGCAAGGAGGAGATTTTTCTGGGAGACAATTGGTAGATGAAATTTAGCAGCCTTAGCATGACAAATGAGAGATCAAAAGAAAATGGTGGTGAAGTTTCTTGCTGTTTAGAAAATGTTTTCTTCCCTCTCTCAGTGTTATATTAACTCCTTTTCTTAATAATCCAACGATTCAGAGTTTTTCCTGTTATTTTGAATATTGAGATTTAATCAATGAAAGAAACTAGAATTAATTTTTTTCTAGCATGGAAAATTATGGAAACTTAAACTAACATTGATCACGAATTTCTTAAACATTTTCATAATGCTATCTGAACATTTCAAGTAGGCGAACTCTGTTTTTCTGCTTTTTTTAAAAGAGAAAATTTCAGTATTTTCAGGTAATTTAAAAAAATATGCTGCTAAGGATCAAACAGTATTCATATGCCATTGCCTTTTCATACTGTTATTTGAGAAAATGATGTCACATAACCATATATATGTATATGATTTTTCTTTGTTTCTATTTTCTTTTTCAACTGTGGTTTCTCTGTAACCTCAGAACTTGGGTGTTAATCATCTGAATGTAATCTACACCACATAACATAATATAATTACATTGCTAATGATTCTGTTTCCCTCTGTTTCATTTTGCCATTTTCAATGTTGCATGGACTCAATCCTTAGCGTTGGTCAAATCGGAAGCGGTTAAGTGCCAGCAAGGTAAATATACTTGTTTTTTTTCTTTAAATGGTTTGTTAAAAGCTTCATCTTTGTAGCAAACATAAATATATACATAATTGGTATTACCTGACCTTTATGTATAACAGCATTCCTTTTCCTTACTGCTGTTATGAATAAGAAGAAAACAACCTTACCTTAAAAATTTTATTTAATGTGGGTATAGCCAGATATTTGAACTGACACTTGTTTTAGTGCTGACATTTTTTTATGTATTGGTCATGTTAGAGTGTTATATTTCATTAAGCTTGGATTATTTAGAGTTTAGCATGGTTAGATTTAGCCTTTTAGGAAGTTATTTACCCTTAGATAGAAACTAGCATCAGTGTTAAAGGGGCAATGTAAAGATTGAAAGAAATGTGTTTTATATTTTATATTAATAAGTCTCTTTTATAGTTTCTGAAAAGCCATTTATTCCATCCTTGGTAAAAGTTTCTTTAAAGATTTCTTCATGAAGTGCTGGGGATTTTTTACATTGTTAATATCTTTTAAGTAATCATACAGTGTTGTCTACTTTATAAAACAGTATAGTAATGCATTATTAATTTACCAGGTTATTAAATTAACAAGTTGAAACTTAAATGACTACATGTGAAAATTAATGTAAAAATAAACAAAACAAAGAATTTTAAGTTAATTTAGCAGCTCTGCTACTTTTTAAAGAGAAATAATCAACAAAAACGAATTTCTATTAAATGATGCAGTATTTCAGACTTTTTTCCAGTTCAGTTAAAATCTCTGTGTATGCGTGTATTTGCACACTTACATACATGTGTACATACATATCCTGGCCCTATTTTTTAACCCTACTATACCTCAGTTGCTAATTTCCCTGTAAAATAAGGAGTTTGATACTGGGAGCATCATCTCCAGCTTAAAGAGTGTGTGTATGGGTGAGAGAGAGAGAGAGAGAGAGAGAGAGAGAGAGAGAGAGATTGATTAATTCAGGAGGGAGGGAGATTGAGAGAGAGAGAGAGTTTTAATCTGACCAGCACTAGTCACTTAGGAGGAAAGCCAAACTTTCCAAGTCTTGCTTTGTAAACTCAGAGGAACCAAAGTTCTGACTCCTATTTAACTAAACTTTACATTTTGAACCTTTTAAAATAGCTATGATAAGGTATTTTGTTGTCCTATCACTTCACTTGGTTCCCGAGACTGATTCTTTTCATAAATAAAATTAAAAGCTAATAATAACATTGAGCTGTCTCAAAAATGCCTCCAACTTTTGCCTTATTCCTTTATAGTCACTAGAGGGTAGAAGAACATCATTTCTCAGGACAGCGAAGGTCCCTGCTCTCGCTCTCCCATATTAGGAGTTTCTATAACCACCCAAAGCAGTAAAGTTTCCCAGAATGCTTTGGTGAAGCCTGACAAAGCAGTATTTTCTCGTTTATTGATTCTGCTGCTGCACTAAAACACTGGTACTGTACATCAATAACCATCTTTAGTTAGGGAGCTTTGGTCTGTGGAAGAGCACTGGCAGTTTGTGGAAGAACATAAAGGCTAGAAAGAAAAATTGTGAGCTTGGGGAATATGGGAGTCTAGGGAGGACAGGAGAGGTTATGGAAGAATGGCCAAAGGAATGAAGAGGGATAGAAAAAATGTTGACGGCCTGGATAAAGATATCAAAAATATGAAGGGAACAGAGGATCCCGGAGAGCAGTATTTATATGTATACTGCAGAATTGTGTCTTGAAACTGAGTTGTTGTCTGTTTTTTTCACCCCCCCACCCACCCATCTAGTAGTTTCTAGAATTTTGACTTTGGTGTACCTGGCTCAGGAATGTGTAATATACACCCAAACCTAGTATATGTGTTTAACAGAATCGTAGATGAATAAAAAGTTCATTGAAAGATATTTGTAATTGTATTCGAGACACGCAAATTATGTATTGTTGAAGAATTGCAATTGTTACATTGCCTTTTTGCTTTTGAGAATATGCAGTTTTAAAGAGAGAAGTGAGACAGCTTCTATTTTGGGCTTATACAAATGAGCTGCATGGAAACTTCATAGACACTGTGATTAACGCTTTGTAAAAGTAGTTAAAATACCCTGTTAAACCTATCTTTTGGTATGTTTAAACTATAAGATTCTCTTTTTAATGATTTCAAGTTATACTTAATATTATATAAGAGTTTGATGTAAAGAAGATTACCTAGCTATAGGCATCTAAAATTGTACTAGTCCTAAGTAATTTATCACCTATATAAAATATCATAGACTTTTACACCTCAATCTTTTTCTTATAATAAGTTAGCTTTATTTAAATAATTTCTTCTTAACACTGTAACTTTATAATTTTGTACCATCCAAAAGGTTCCTGAATGCCAGAACCTTGGTAGACTCTGTTTCCTTACTATTCAGTCTTGGATTTCAAAAATAGTAAATACATAGAGATTGCGTTTAAAAATAGGTTAAGATTTCATCCAAAAGCCTTTGAAGTTGAGCATTTAAACTAGAATTGGGAATTTGATTTAATAGGGCCTGGATCAGATACATAGTTCTCTTTGTACATTTATTATACACAATCTTTGGTCTGAATAGATTTGTTTCCAAACCTCACTTTTCTCTTTTCTAATATATGTAATGGTTATAGAGATTTAAAAACAATTAATAGCAGTTACTCCTCATATCCAATAGTCCAACATGGGGAAAAAAGCAGTTATAAAAAATGAATTTAACAAATCCCTGACTGTATTCAGAAACTTTACACGCATGCACACACAGGCACACACACAAACTCACAAACCCTGCTATCGTTTGGGGACATATAGGTGCTATGTCTGGCACAATGGCTCTTTATTTATGGATTAGATGGGTTTTCACTGAGATAAGTACATCCTCCTACATAGCCCTCTTTTGAACCACTGTTTTATGCATTAATACGTCACCAATCTAAGGTGGGAGTCATGACCTGTACTAATGTAACATCATTTCCTTTTTTTCTTTATGAAATTAGTTGACTAGTGTTGCCAATTTTTGGCCTGTTTGTCCTCATATTCTTTTATTTCAGTTCTTGTCTGTTATTGCAGGGGCTGATCTCTGCAGGCTACGTTTTCTAAGTCCCCCATCAGCTAGCCTACAGCTGGCTTCAGACACAGAGAAGAATTGGCCCAAGGCTGGTTTGATATAAGATAACTCAAATTGAAAGAGGACAGAATTTGGAGGGAAGCTCCATTTCTCCCTATCTGTATCCATCTATCTATCTGTCTATTTTTTTTAAATGAGCTACTCTGTTACCAGGTCCCAGGTGGAAACCAGGGGGAAGTTTTAGTAATGCTTTGTATGTAGTTGTATAGTTTGGGGTTGAAAAGGAAGTAACTCAAACTGGAATAGATGCCCGTCCTCCCAACTTCTCGGTAAATGTCCACTCTCTCTGCACCTCTTTTTCTAATTGAGCTCACATATCTTATTTTTGTGTAGGCCCAGGAAGTAGTACAAGCAAAACCTTCATGCAAGAGGCAATACGTTCCATTTGAGGAACTAAAACAAGGGCATTGTGCCTGGAACACTTCCCTAATTAATAAAGTGATATTTGTTTCTGTTTTGCTCTTTTCATTGTCACACATTCTTAACTGAATTCAAATGCCCACTCATAGTAACACCTTTTACCTTTTTCTTTTCTTGGCAAAACTCAAAGGATTGGAGAATTGCACACTCAAGACAGGCACATTTATCTATATACCTATCTGTCTGTATCTGATAGCCTGTCTATTTATCTATGATCTAATGTAGCTAATCTATCTAATTTATCTGTGTCTTCATTATCTATTTCTATCTATTTTATCTATCATCTATCTATCAATCCATCAGTCCATGGAGATGGCACACTGTCCCGACCCACTGCTGAAGGTCTTAACCTTGACCCTTCTGGTGCCTTGTTATGAAATCTAGGTCAGCATTAGCCTGGAGAGAATAACCTCTAGGGAATTCCCTCTTTTCTGGAGCTTGCAGCCACATGCAGGTGAGGCCATCAATTTATTGGAATTATAGAAGCTGGTGTGTGCCTTGAGGCCAGAGGGATAGAGACACCATCTTCCTTAACATTTCATCAGATGCCTCCTCTCAATAACATTAGACTCAGTTTTGCCCAAACCCCATTGCTCATTGAGCACACACTCTTATTGTGGTAGGAATCCTGTCCTCGTATACAGAGATGAATTAGACTCCGCTATCAGAATTGAAGAGTGATGTGGGTATTCAGAGGCTTTGGTGAGACTCTCATCCTGGCCTTGGAGGTGGGTGAGGTTGGCTGAATGCTGGGCTCAGAGGAAGCTTTCAGAGAAAGAAGACTGGAGTGAATCTTACCAAGTGAGAAGGAAGAGGAAATGAATTGAAACATTCCAGTATAAAATAATGTGGTGCATAGCAAGAGCTCAAAACTGTTTATTAGAGGGCTCCAAACAATATGGTTTTCTGTGTGTGCCTCCTGCACCAGCCACAGCTGGAAATTGTTAGAAATGCAACTTTTTGGCCCGCATCTCAGATCTCTTTAATCAGAAACTCTGGGAATGAGGTCTAGCTATCTTTGAACAAGCCCTGCAGGTGATTCTCAAGCATCTTGGAGTTTGAGAACCACTGATATTCACTCAAGCAGGGGCCCTCAAACGTTTTAAACAGGGGGCCAGTTCACTGTCCCTCAGACCATTGGAGAGTGGGCACTGTGGGGCCAGGATGAGTCGGTTGCTAAGCAGGACAGGCAGTGGTGGCAAAAACACCTGGCGGGCCAGATAAATGTCCTAGGCATGTGGCCCATGAGCCATAGTTTGAGGATGCCTGCACTAGAGTATGAAGGAGGATGCTGGGAACAGTAGGGGGCAAAGCTAGGGATGGAGAGAAGGGCAGGGCTTACAGGCCAGTAGCTCTGCTGCTGACCTTAGGTGATAGGGGTGGGGCTGGGATTAAGGTGAGTCCAGGAAGGTGCCCAGGGTGCAAAACAGCGGGAGGCTGAGGTGCCAGCCCTGCACGCGCAGAAGCTTCA